TATTGGTGACATTTGCTTGGATCCTAGCAATAGTCTTTTTTACAGTATTAGCAACCTGTCTTTTAATAGGGAATGCCTCCCAAGCAACTGGATTTCACAAAGGCAAAAGTAAGAAAAGGCTGTTTTAGTTATATCAGGCATTTAAATATTTATGAAAATCTTTTTGTGAATATTGGAAGCCTTGTTAGTCATTTTATCTTAAATATTGGATGTAGCTCCTTGGAAGTCATTACATGTTTGTTTGTTTTTTTAATATGGTTCCAAATATCTCTTTGCTTACTGACCATAACCTTATGCCTCAAAATAAGTTGAGCAAATAATCATTTAAACATAACTGTGTTGGGGTGCCTGGGTGGCTCAGTCAGTTAAGTGTCCAACTTCGGCTTAGGTCATGATCTCACGGCTTATGGGTTTGAGCCCTGCGTCGGGCTCTGCACTGATAGCTCAAAGTGTGGAGCCTGCTTTGGATTCTGTGTGTCTCTCTCTCTGCCCCTCCCCGGCTCATGCTCTGTCTCTCTCTTAAAATAAATAAACATAATAAAAATAAAACTTTAAACATTAACTGTGTTTTCCAAGTATAAACTCTCATGTGGTTCAGCACCCTCCCCAATAAAAAACAAAATACTAATTAATGCAGGCTAGTTCCCATCTACAATAGTATCTTGATATCTTAATATATTAAAAATCACAAAATATTATAAAATACAAGCTTTTGGCAAAATTAACTAGTCTTTATTCATTATTATTTGAGACCACTGGATAAACTACCACTCAATAATTTTAAAGTAAATTTATTTTGGTGTTTCCTCCATGTCATTTTCATATTCCTGTCCTGATAACATGCCCTAAACACTCCCTGCATCAAATCGTTTTCATTAACATACATCTGTCTACCTTAAAACTAGTCTTACTCATAGAGAAAAACCTAAATCTTTTTAAATCCTGTTTTCAGATGTTGATAAACATCACTTTGACCATCTACAATAAAAATAATAAAAATCAGAATAGCTCTTTTACTTCTGCTGGACCCAGTACATATCCTCTGTTCATTCGATGTCTGTTATTCATTCTAACCTGTTAGGCACTAACCTCTACAAAGAACGAGCCAAAGGCTAGTAACATGATGATATAAAAATGATACCATTATCTCCCCTTAAGTTCCTCAAAAGTCTCCTGCAAGGAAAAAAAAAAATATTTGTAATACAATAAATGCTATAAAAGAAGGATACATGAAGTGCTTTGGTAAATGCTGTTGACTTAGAATTTAATAAGCATATAAACTTTAGATCTTTTTCCAAAAAAAATTTTCCCTTGAAACACAACAGATTTCTTACGACTTATCAGAGGAGATAGAAGGACATCAGTGCTGACCTGAAATGTACAGTGTTTTTTAATGAATTGTAAGACATTTTTCCCCTTGAAAATGAACACTGAACAAATTAGTTATTAATGCTATCTTTGTCAACAGGAAAACATAACTAAAGAAAATACTGTACCAAAGCCAAGTCCTCAAGTTTATTTGACATTTGGTATTTTTACAAAATAACAAACCCTACCAACAGATTTTTACAAATAATTTAGCTCAGAGTCTTAAGGTTAACAAAACACTATGGCATCCATTAGATCTCTTGTTCTTTACAAATATTCTTTGTGGTACGTGGTATTATCTCCAATTTACAGATGGAATCTTTGTTAATTTTATTTACTTATTTATTTACTTACTTATTTTAGACGTTTAATATGTGCCACTAGCACAAGGGATAGAAATGCCAGCAATCTAGGAAGTTCAATCCTAGATTGAACAATGGTTGTCAGCCTTCAAATCCTGTGCTCTACCCTCTACATTATAACCCTCTGTCAAACATAATGAATCATGTTATTAAAATAGGATAAGTCATGTGTCTCAAAAAATAAATTACCTATATGTATATAGTAAAGATGGTCTATGAAGTCATTGTTGATCTTTTCTAGGTAGACTTTCTAATGTTGGTATTTTATCTCATTTCTCAATGTTAGAACACGGGTAAATTTCAATTTTGGTGTAATAAAGAAAATAGTTCATCTTAATGCCTGAACATGGGATTCTTTAGGTAGTTGGAAGTCTTCTAAAATTAATGATTTTATAATGTATATTAGACAATTGCATATTGTATTCTGAGTATATTAATATTAAAAACTTTTTTATAAGGAAATTACCATCATGCCTATTTTTTTAAATGTACATGAATATCTCTGTGGAAGTCTTTCCCCTAGATGGATGCCCTAAAATACTTCTGTAGAAGTCCTTGCCCATAAATTGAAGCAAACTATAAACAAAATAAAGATATGTAAAGCATAGAAGAGGAATTATCCTTTTTATTTTTGTTGCTCAAATTCTATCTAACAATACATTATACTTTATTTGCACTGTTTTATACTGGTTATGCAGTCTAAACCAGATACACAAAAGGCTATAAAAATTATCTGTCTATCCTGACAATAGAGGATCACACAGAGGATATTTGTAGAAACAATTATCAAAGCATTACTTCAATAACAATAGCATTTGTTCGATAACAAAAAAGGAAATAAGATGTGATTTTTAATTCATTTTTTCATTTGATACTTTACTCCAAAAAAATACTATCTTAACATTCACTAAAAAACACTGAGCAAACCAGATAGACGAGGTCCCTATCCTCAAAGTTACTGAAAGTAAAGACTCCATTTGTTTATTTCTCCCCTCACTGCTCCCTACTCTCTTTCTAATGTCCTTTAGAATGAGTTGAATCTAATACAAGAAATCAGTCTTCAGATTGCTACTTAGGCTTTTAAAATTTACACTCCAAAAGTTGAAAACATAAAACAGCCTTTGAGTTTAACATCAAGAAAGCAGATATGTGCCTATCTCTCAGGAGAACAAAGCTTTTAGTTTGTTTAGATAATATTTCAAGGCTTATTTCTAACCCTTCTTCATTCTGCTGAACTTATTTTCATGCTCTCCCTAACCACCAAACCTTTACAAATTGCCCTTCCCTTAGCTTGGTCACTTAAACTTGCCATCTTTCACATCTTAGCTCTCACAATCCGTCTATGACACTTCCTTTAACATGCGGAAGTGACAGTAAGTGCCCAGGCGCCGACTCTCCACCACTTCCTGGCTTCGCCAGCTCGTAGGAGTTGCCCACCTCCCTGGGCCTCAGTTTCCTCGTCTGTAGCACAGCAGAAAACAGCACAAATCCCCATCCTTGTGAGCTGGTGGGAGAGACTGGGAACAATCTAGAATGTTCAGTGGGGTGCCTGGGAGGCTCAGTCAGTTGAGCATCCAACTCTTGATTTTCGGCCCAGGTCCTGATCTCATGGTCATGGGATCGAGCCCTGCGTCAGCTGCCACACTCAGCGTGGAGTCTGCTTGGGATTCTCTCTCTTCCCTCTCTCTGCCCCTCCCCAGCTCGCTCACTCTCTCTCAAAACAAATAAACATTTCTAGAATGATCGATGGGATAAGTGCTGAGGAGAAAACAAGTTTCTAAAAAAAAGAAAAGAAAAAAGTCCTTGAGTCCTGTTTTACACATAACTTGGGTGAAGTCATCATATTAATATGTCTCCACATTGATTTTCATCTATGTTCCTTCAAGGCACTATGTGTATGTATGTGTTTTTTTTCTTTTTGGGCTTTCAGACTGACATGTATACATTAGGCAGTCAAATATTAACACATTTCAGAAAACCTAAACCACTCCTTTGGCTTAAATTCAAAAGGAATATACATAGAATCCTCTGATATTTCCCTAACAATGATAAGTGCTTTTTGCCATTGGGATGACTTTTACAATGGTGTCAAGTACCAAATGTCTATCCCCCAAAATATCCAAATTTGTTTATATCAAAAAACAACTAAAAATAGGTTTATATGGTTACATTTAAAGATTATTGGTGTAATAATGAATTTTCAGTCTATTGTTCTGATTATTATAGAAATTCTCAAACTGTTGAGTTTTCTGGGGGGAAAAATCTGATAAAACAGAATTAACTGTTGGAAAGATTTAAACAAAGGTGTTCAAGTTTTCTAACTTCTCAGAGCCTTTAAAATTTTTTTTTTCAACGTTTATTTTTATTTTTGGGACAGAGAGAGACAGAGCATGAACGGGGGAGGGGCAGAGAGAGAGGGAGACACAGAGTTGGAAACAGGCTCCAGGCTCTGAGCCATCAGCCCAGAGCCTGATGCGGGGCTTGAACTCCCGGACCGCAAGATCGTGACCTGGCTGAAGTTGGACGCTTAACCGACTGCGCCACCCAGGCGCCCCTCTCAGAGCCTTTAAAATAATGCATTCTCAAAGTCCTCTGAGGACACAAAATTTCTCAACCTTATTCGATCAAAAGTATGGTTTGGGGAAGGGGAGCAGAGCAGAGAGTAGCATACCTACTAATATCTTAAGGAATATAGTTTAGGAAATCTTGACCAAAAATTCTGTGTTGCTAGAAAATTACTTTTATCTTTTTTTAAATGTTTATTTATTTATTGACAGAGACAGTGAGGGAGAGCAGGGGAGCGGCAGAGAGAAAGGGAGAGACAGAGAACCCCAAGCAGGCAATGCGCTGATGCAGGGCTCAAACTTACAACCTGTGAGATCATGGACCTGAGCCGAAATCAAGAGTCAGATGCTGAATGGAATGGGCCACCCAGGCGCCCCGAAAATGACTTTTAATATAAATAGAAAAATACTGTGGGAATTTTGAAAATTATCAAACTGTATAAAAATTATCAGACTGTAAAATAATGGTATTTTTTTCAAATAATTAGTGTATCTTTGGGTGCCTGGGTGGCTCGGTTAGTTAAGTACCCAACTTTGGCTCAGGTCATGATCTTGCAGTTTGTAAGTTCAAGCCATACAACGGGCTCTGTGCTGACAGCTAGGAGCCTGGAGCCTGCTTTGGATTTGGTGTCTCCCTCTCACAGCCCCTCCCCCACTCACGCTCTCTCAAAAATAAATAAACATTAAAAAAAATTTTTTTTAAAGAATTAGTGTATCTTAACTACAGTAACTCCCCCAAATTGTTTCAACCTTAAGCCAAAATAACTTTAAATAAATAAATAAAATAACATGATGGAGAATGACAGCAGTAATTGGACACTGAGAAAAAATGAAAGAGAAATATTCATTTTTAGGCTCACTATTATTTATTATTTAATATTCAATTTTAGTCACAGTCACGAGAAAATCATCCCTGGCATCCGGGAACTAGCCTGACACATGGAGACTTCAGTGTTTTTAGGAGATGCCTGACACAGCTAGGCGTCATCAATGGTTTTCTAATGAACGTAAAAATCTCGTAAAACACCAACATCGGACAAGGTTACCCTTGTAACCTTGTGACTGATGAAAGGAGGGGTAAGAAAAAGCAAGATCAGTTCATAATCTTCTCTATGGGACAAAAGCAAGGTCACTATGCAAACCACAAAAATAATAGGTTTTACTGTTAATAACTATCCAATTGTGTGGTGTGATTGATATTGGCTAGTCAGCTTGCTGAGGTATCCAATTATTTACCTGTACCGAACAGTGTGAGACAAAAATAAAGTGGGCACATATTTTCTGCATGAAGACCATATATGCAAGTAGTCTAATAAGAAGGCCGCTACTATTTAGTCTTACTTCACAGATTTGGTTCTTAATCAGTTAATTCGATGTCTTACCAAAGGAAAGGATGTTGTTTTGACATGTTATTTAAATTTAGACTTGTGTGTTTTTAAAAAGTACACAGTAGTTAAAAAAACTATTCAAAGAAAACGTTTTCTGGGTTAAAACACATCCGTGTAGTATATCTGAAACTCATTTACGTCCTCTTCTTACATTGTCAGCAATTAACTGAAAAAGTTCAAATATAGTATAATTATTAATTAGTTTTAACCAAGGCATACAAATGTTAATGTCAAATAAACCACGAAATAAGCCACCAGATTCAGACTTTTAATGTTAATATGACGTTCTGCTTTCTAAGTTAAATGACTTAATGCACACACTTAAAGTATGAGCGGTGTAGGAACAGATCTCAATGTAAATGCTGTCGTTACAATAATTATTTGAGCGCAATAGCAGGTACTATGTCCAACTTTATCTTTACATCTCTAGCAATTACAAGTGTTCACCACATACTAAATGGTGTCGTCTTAAATAATTTTCTCAGTCATAAAATTTTTACAACACAACATATGCCCCTTCCCCTAAAAATCCATAATATTATGTGCCATAAACTCTTTATAGATGAAAATGTATTCGATTATGCTTGAAACGGACTTATGGGGTCTAAATTTATTTGCATTCCTTTTTTCTATTACTACCCGGGTAGTGGTTTCAGCATTCGGTGTTTGCCTATGCTCTCAAACCTAAGTACCTAAGGTTCCAGACATCAGTATTCTGAGAAGCATTACAAACCCACCAGGCCCCGGTCGCAGGTGGCCTCTGAGTGGGTCCGCCCCGCTTGACCTCTGGGAGACGCCCTTAAACCGCTCACGTGGACTAAGCGACGTCTCGGGCGCCGCAGCGCATGCGCGCAGGAAAGGGAGACGCGACTCGCCGCGGGGCTGAGGTCCGGGAACCTCGGCCCAGGCGGGCTGGACCAGGATTCTGAAGCGGCGCGCGCAGCGGTCGGGACGTGACAGCGCTCCACTGCGCTGGGCTCACCGCGGGGACCCACCCGGGCTCTGGCTGCGCACCTTGTGTTTTTGCTGCCCGCGTCGACGCGTGGGCGGGAGGTGGAGGCGGAGCCCGCGGTCCTAAGACCAGCGATTGGCTGATTCCGCTTTCCCGTCGCTTTCCACCCTGCTGAGTTGTGGTGTGAAGTGACCGCCGACTAGGAACCGGCACTCTGCGGGGGTGGGCTTTGCTTTTCCAGTGAAGTGTTAACCTCGCCCGCGGGAGTTTCAGCTCTCCACCTGCCGAAGTTTCCGGAAATAGTTTCAGGTTTTTTTTTTTTTTCGGTGGGTGGGAGACGTTCGCATTTATGGTTGCCTCTACATGAGTTTTTTGATGGCAACTTAAATGACTGATTTTTTTTTTTTATTAGAAACACTGTATATTTTCTCCCTCGGGGGCTCGTTCATATCCTTACTTTCCATGACAGATCTTAACGACAATATATGCAAAAAATATATAAAGATGATCACTAATATAGTTATATTGAGCCTGATCATTTGCATTTCTTTAGCTTTCTGGATTATGTCTATGACTGCAAGCACCTATTATGGTAAGTATGAATGTTCTAAGTTGTTTTTCTATAATCTAATTGGTGGAATTGAAAATAGTCTCATTAATGAAATCCAAAACTCCTGTCCTCTGAGTAGTTATGAACTGTTGTGTTTACTTAACTCCCATGGTCCGAATTTACAAACATTAAAATGTAATCACTGCCTTGAACATTTTAGAAACTTTAATAAACACAGCTTGTGGATAATACTAGTTAAACCTATTTCAAAATGTTTTTATGTTGTATGTAGTTATTACATCTATCTTGAGAAATAAATGAAATGAAACATGGTTTTGTAAAACAATTGCAGTGATTTTTTAATAAGAATATTTGTAACTATCAGTTTCTCGTATCCTGTAAAAAATCACAGTAAAAATGAAAGGTGGTATAATGTTTACATTTGGAGAGTTGGAGGATTTGTCTGCTGTTTTAGTCACTTCAGAAGAACAGATTCCTTTTAAAGTCTGAAACCACATTGTGTACTCTGGACTCAAATCTTGATAGTTTTGACGCCTCCTAAGAGCATACGTATGCCTTTACACAAATTCCTTGGTACCCCTATAAAAATGGAATATTGTTCAGCTGAAAGGAAAAGTGAAAAGTAGAGTGATAAAGCGATTGCCATCTCAGAACTTACCCTCTGCAGACATGTGAATAATTGAATGGGTATTCTTCAAGGTTCAGAAGCTTTCAGAGTTGGTTCATAATGACTCACAGTAGGGGATGAGGGTTTAGGGAGGAGAGGTATGGGAGAAGATTCTGGTTTGCGCTAGTATTAACTATTGCTTGAACTCAATGGAATAAACTGGGATCTGGAAACCCAAGTGTCCCTCTGGGGCCAGGAACATGATCATTGCATCTTAAACACATGGGAATAGTTTTCATTTTCAGAAATAGAATTTTTTGGTTGAACATTTGGCCCTCTTTGTCTTCCATTTTCCCATTTTTGATAGAAACATGGGCTCAGGCAATAGTTCACATTTTTCCTTACGGTAATCACTCAGTCTTGTGTGTAAGAGTCTGTCAGGAATGGTGGGGACTTTAAAGGGGAAAACAATGGCCTGTATAAGGGAGGAGGCCTCTCTCCACTGCAGTCAATTCTGCCACGTGAGCCTGAACTTCCACATTTTACAACAGAAGCCAAGGTTCTGGATTTTTACACTGAAATATCCTAATTTTAAATATTAACTTCCAGTTGTTTGAAAACATTATGTTAGCCAAACAAAATACCTGTGAGCTGGATGCAACCTTTGGAAAACTCAGTTGCTAATTGTTGAATTGAGGTGTGTAGCTTGTGAGAATGTTACTTTAAAACACACACACACAAACAAAAAAAAAACCTCTCTACAAGGCAGAAAGTGAAATAATTGGATCCTGTTAATAGTTTGCTTTATGCAGTTCTTGAGATTTAATACGTGCCTCCTTTCCAAAACAATGGTGAACTGTAGAGAATCATTTCAAATCTCCACATATGTATGAAATATCAAAACTTGGACAGGACTTATTTGGTCATTCCCCAGTAGGATTGTCTCTCTGGAAATATAAAAGTCTCAACATATTTTACTTTGGTGACTTCATCTCTGTTTCCCTACTTATGCCAGTATTTTAATCCAGAATGCAGTTAATCAGAGTTTACAGCCAGGACTAACATGTGCAGGCTTCACACAATTTGTGCTCTATCTTTATAATTTTTAGGTAATTTACAGCCTATTTCTCCTTGGCGTTGGCTGTTTTCCGTTGTCGTTCCTGTTTTGATTGTCTCTAATGGCTTTAAGAAGAAAAGTCTAGACCACAGTGGGGCTTTAGGAGGTATGTTTTTCTTTTGAATGTTAACTATTTAATAAGTGCTTGCTAATATAATTTAAAACCGTGTTTTCTAAATTCCAAATATATGAGACGACAGTCACAATGTTATGTATTTTAGACAATGATAAAGTGATTTATTGCTCAGCATTCCTATTCTGTCAAAATTGCAGATACTAACATACTCAGTGTAATGTACAAATTTATCTTTGTAATTGATGTCAAGTAGATTAATAGGATAGATTTTTTTTTTTTTTTAGTTTCTTAATTATTCTGCTCCTTTAGTTGTATTAAATTATCTGCTGGCAGAAATGCTGGAGAACTCCTAGGAGTAAAGTAGAGGAACTGGTGGAAAGAATTGTTCTTGGAAATCGCTATTAGTAGCCTCAAGCAGAGCAGTACAAATTAAGTATCCTAGATATGTTTTTCAGAACTGAGTTAGGGATAGGCCATTTATCTGTTCTTTTAGCACATATTTATTGAGCACTTACTATATGCCACTCTTCTAGAAACTGAAGATGTGACCGTGAACAAGGACAAGGTTTCAAGTTCTTGTGGAACTTTTATTCTTTAGAAGAGATAACAAACAAAATACATTAAACTTTTTATATAATAAAGTTTGTGAGAAAAACTGAGATAATAAAGAGTGTATGTTGGGGGATGCAGGCATTCTTTTGTAGATAGGGTCAGGCATAACCCATTTCTCTAAGGAGGTAGTTGTGAACCGAGACTTGAAGAAGCCAGCAATGAGAAAGTCTGAGAGAAGCAGGTTCCAGGCTGACAGAATCACATGGGAAAAGACCCCGACGTATACCCTGGCTTATTTGGTGTGAGCATAAAGTTCATTTGACTGGAAAATAGTGAAAAAAGGAAAATGGTGAGAGATAAAATTGAAGAAATAGGCAAGGGCCAGGTAATTAAGGGGGCTTGTGGGACACAGTGAAGATTTTATTTCAAACTAGGTGGAGCCTCACCTGCCTCAGATCAGTGGGGTGACATGGTCTGATATGACATTGAGACTTTCATTCCTGGCAGTGTTTTAAATCCTAAGACATGAGAATCCCCCTCAACTGGCAGGTCTTGAAGCCACCTATCTAACCTGCAAAATATTGCTCATTAGCCTAACTTAGCACTGTAAACACACTCTGCTGCCACTGTATTCACATAGAGCAGATGTTTCTCAAAGTTTTATAAACTTGAGCAGACCTTCATGGAAGCAATATAACATGATGGGTAAAAGAACAAGTGCTAGAATCAGGCAGGATGGATTTGAATGATAGTTACAGCAGGTGCCTGGGTGGCTCAGTCAGTTAAGCATCTGACTTCGGCTCAGGTCATGATTTCATGGTTCGTGAGTTCAGGTCCCCTGTCCAGCTCTGCACTGACAGCATGGAGCCTGCTTGGGATACTCTGTCTCCCTCTCTATCTGCCCCTTCCCTGCTCACATGTTTGCTCTCTTTCAAAAATAAACATTTTTTTAAGTTAAAAAAATAAAAATAAATGAATATTAGTTATGGCTTTGGGAGAGTCACTTAACCTCCCTATGCCTTAGTTTTCTCTTCAGTGAAATGGGATTTTTAATATCCAACCTAAAGAACTACCATGAAGTTAATATAGCTTAAACTTCATGGCATCTTCACTTGCAGTGGTACCTTCTAAGGCCTTGGGAAGAACCCTAGCAGTTTATGCTCATGGTCCTATGGTTTTGTAAATTTTACAAAGGTAAGAGCTATGCTTGTGTGTGTATGTGTGTGTATATATGTGTGTGTGTGTATATATATATATATTTTTTTTTAATTTATAAGCACCAGGCCCTATAAATCCTTGATCTACCTCTGATTTCATTCTTACGGGTTGCAGTAAGAATTAAATCAGGTAATCACAATAAAGTTCCTAGCTCAGTGCATAGACATAGCCAGCATTTATTGGCTGCTTATTTTCAGGCAGTTCTTCAGAATCATGCTAAGTCTCTTCCTTTATGATTGAGAAACATTGTTCAAGGACTTTTTTCCCTTCCATGAGGGTAGTTGAGAATTACAGTTAACAGACCATATTGACATATATTTTGTCTTGCCATATAATCAGTATTAGGAATGGTTATGTTTTATCTGTTTAGCAAATGCTTATGTTGCGTATACTGTGTACCAGGCACTGCTGTTAGCACTTTGGAAGTATTAACTCACTTAAAGTGAATAATTTGGTCTCCGTTTGAATATAACACAGACTTATGCTTTGTTAAAAATGTCCTTTTTCAAGTAGTCTTGCCTTGATTATTATCATTCTTGACATATAGAAAGGGCAAGTCGTTCCTGAAATTCTGTCTTCCCTGGTTTCCATGTTGTATATTGCCCTGCTTTTCCTTTTCCGATCTCTACTTTTGTTTCTTTCCTGCTACCATTTGCTTTCCTGCCTTCTAGTCCTTGGGCCTCTATTCCTCTCCTGCCTAGCTTGATTTAGAATTAGAAGATACGTATTTGAATTCTGAGACTTCCACTTGCTATCTCAGTGAAGTTTGCTGTCACATACTATGAGTCTGGAGTTCTCTCTTGTCCAGCAAGAGAACGGATGCAGAATTGAATACAAGAGAGGCTTGTGTCCAGGAAGAGACAAAAGCCCCAAATAGGGGTTTCGTCTCCGCATTTATTGAGCTTACAAGATATTACCCATGTGGGTGAACATGAAGAAAACAAGATCTTACGCAGGTGAACGTGGAGAAAACAATCAGTAATCATTAAGTTGTGTGCGTAAGAAGCAAAGGGTGTGGGGGCAAGTGGAGTTTGTGATCAAAGTACAATAGTTTATTGGCGTCAGATGGAAGTATTTGTGATCCCATTACAGTATCTTGCTAGCTAACATTGGGCACTTTTGCTTTCCACCCTAAGCTTTTTCTAACCCATTTATGTAAGTAGAACCTATTTCCTCACATTTTACCACATTGCCTAACAATTTGGAGTCTCAGTTTCTTCATCCCTTATGAAATAGTTCCTTAGGGCTTATTGGTGAGGTTCAGACAAGATAATGTATGGGACAATATGTCTGTTTAAGCTATAGAGCGTTAGGGGTGCCTGGGTGGCTCAGTCAGTTAAGCGTCTGACTTCGGCTCAGGTCATGATCTCACAGTTCATGGGTTCAAGCCCTGCATTGGGCTCTGGGCTGACAGCTCAGAGCCTGGAGCCTGCTTTGGATTCTGCATCTCCTTCTTTCTCTGCTCTTCCCCCATTCATGTTCTGTCTCTCTCTCTCTCTCAAAAATAAAAAGTTAAAAAAAATTTTTAAAAAGCTATAGAGCATTATATAAACATTTACTGTTAGTGATTTATTGTGTGCTTTCGATTATATTGTAAACTCCCAGAAGACAGGAGTGGATCTTATGCTTCTGTGTCCCATGCTTCTTTGAATAGTGTTACAGCATAACAGGTACTTAGGAAATATATGATTGATTCTTTTTAATGTTTTTTTTTTTATTTATTTATTGGAGGGGAGAAAGGAGAGGGAGGGGATTGGGAGAATCCCAAGCAAGCTGTGTGTGTCAGCACGGAGCCCAATGTGCAGCTTGAACTCAGGAACTGTGAGATCATGACCTGAGCTGAAATCAAGAGGACGCTCAACCGACCAAGCCAGCCAGTCACCCCTGTACATTGATTTTAAAACCTCTGTTCTTTTTTCTAATCATTTCATTCCATGAATATTGGTGTCTTTTGTTTGGAGCTTTTTTTTTCCCTTAAGAACAAAAAAAAAAAAAAAAATTGTAATGCTAGTTCAAATTATATAGGACTTGGGAATACCATCCTGGAGTATGACTATAAATTACTTAAACCATCAGTGTTGTCATTTGCCTATCTGTAAAGTGAGAAGAAATTATATTATCTACAGCATTGATCTGTGAGAAGCCATCCATGTACAAAGGTTAGCACAGTACCTGGCACACACATTAAGTATTTTATAGATGTTAGTTACCATTATTGTCTTCCTTCCACTACTGTTCACAGTCATAGGAATTTTACTAAGGTTGTCCATATCATGCCTTTAGTGTGCTTGGGATCGAGAAGAGTTTCAGAACTTCCTCAGGATATGGGTGTTAAGAGCCCCCCATGACACAGGAACACATACCTTGGTGATGATGGAAGAGAGGAGGGGTTGAGGCAGTGCTTAAGGTGAACACTGAAGTGGAGGCCTCTGATCTCTTTGAGAGAGATTATTTCTAGAATAAGGAGGATCACATGAGGGAATATATGGGAAAGTGATTATAAAGCACTGGGAAGCACTGTGTAAATGATTTACTCTAAGGAAGTATTACTAGTCATTGTATTCCTTTGAGCTCAGAATGGACAATCCGTCATCAGTTTTTTGACTTGACAATTTTAAATTTGATTTCACCTACCAAGACTATTAGGCATAATGGTTTACTCTTTTTTCTCCATTCATTCATTCATTCATTCATTCAACAAATATGTAGTTAAGGTTCCCTGTATGCCAGGCACTGTCCTGGACACTTAGGATTTAGTAGTAAACAAAATGGATAAAAATCCCACTGTCACTCCTGAAACCAATATTATACTATATGTTAAATAACTAGAATTTATTTTTTTTTAAGGTTCTTTATTTCTTTTGAGAGAGAGAGGAAGAGAGAGAATCCCAAGCAGGCTCCTTGCTGTCAGCATGGAGCCTGACACGGGGCTCAATCCTATGAACTGCAAGATCATGATTTGAGCCGAAATCAAGAGTTGGATGCTTAACTAAGACCCCAGGCACCCCAACTAACTATAATTTAAATGAAAACCTAAAAAAAATACCACTGTTAGAGAACTTACAGTTTTAGGGAACAGAGATAAATAAGATGGGCTTGAGGCATTTACTATTAAATTTTTTTAATGTTTTATTTATTTTTGAGAGAGAGAGAGAGAACAGGGGAGGGGCAGAGATTGAGGGAGACACAGAATCCAAAGCAGGCTCCAGCCTCTGAGCTGTCAGCACAGAACCTGATGTGGGGCTCAAACTCACAAACTG